TGCTGAAGTACTCAACTTTGCTTTCTGCTGTTAAACAGATGTTACTTCCTTCAGTGAAGGTTGGAAAGGAATTTCCATTCCAATTCCCTTTTTCAATTCTTAATTTAAAGCAAGATATTCTGTCATGTTTTACCTATTTAAAGGTGAAAAGCATCACTTGAATAATAGAATCAGCATTGCCTTGTACAAGAAGTCAATACGTAGAAAAATGCAAAGTTTTTTAAACTTTAAGTTCTGAGTTTAGAATTGTTATTACTGTATATTCAAGCATCTGCTTTTGGGTCAGGTATTTGAGATCTTGCCAAAGTATTGCCAGTTCCAATTTGGAAACTTCTATGAAATTCCCAAGGCAGACAAGGTTTTGGGGTAAATCTGATATCTTTTTTTTCCAAGTATTTAGTTGGTCTAATAATTTTTTTAGCAAGCTTTCAGATTTTAAAAATCCTTTGTCAGGCTGAGGAAGCATGATGAAGCCTGACAAAGGGCTTTTAAACCCAAAAGCTTGCTAAGAAAATTTTTTCCAACTATTTAGTTGGTCTAATAAAAGATATCAGATTTACCCAAAGAACGTTGTCTGCCTATGTCCTTAAACCAATATGGCTACAACCTACACCCATGAAACTCCCAAAGATTTCTGATGTATATTGTTACATTACTGTGGCTTAAAGTAATATGAATCATTTAAAATTTTGGTTCAGCTTCTTAGTTGCAACAGTCTGCACTGTCAGATCAACTAACAGGGGACTGCGCTCTCAAGAGTCTCTAGCCTAATAGCTGTAGAGGTCCTGGCGTTGATGGGCTACCTTTTGTAAAAGATGTTGTACGTGGGGCTTCTAGAGGCTCCAGTTTTTCACTCAGTGCCATCCTCCTCTTTTCCAACTGCTGTTTCAAGATACCTTCAAGAAGCTGGAGAAAGCTCTTTATGCTTGCACTCAGCTGCTTTGTCTTAGAGCAAGCAGTGTGAACAGGATATTTAAACAAGCAAATTCTCCAGTTACCATTTTTTCAAATTGAAGTAATTTACTTAATGATTTTAGTTTTTGCTTTGCTTTTGTTCACCAGGATGATTCTCTCAAATCTGCCTAAATGAATTCAAACTCCATTTCAAACTCCTACCTGTCCTATCATGTAGTTTTGTTTCAAACAAATAAAGAAGAATCTAAGTCAATGTATTAGACACGCCAGGGAAACTACATAGCACAGAGGAAAATGCGGTGCAGAATTACCTGTAATATCATCCTTTCTGCAAACGAACTTAGGTGGAGACCCTTCACTTTCTTTTCTAAAGACACTTCTCATCTTGGTTGGAGGTAGGTCTTCCTTGTGTCCAGGAATGATTCTTTGAGGAAGGAGCAGAGCTGCTGCAACTCAAGTAGATTACAGCTCACTGAAGTGGTTTCACTTTTCACTCTTGAACTCCACCCCTTTTCTTGTTAATGTAGTTCAGACAGTGTCATACAAGCTACAGGAGTTTACACATGTGTTGAGGGGGAAGGGGGAAGGGAAGAGTAGAAATTGCAGAGAGGAGAAGAAGAGAGCTGCTGTTCCTTCTCTGATTAATGCTGATGAGGCTGAAAGACTATCAGTTCAATTGTTCAATCAGTTTATTAGCTTTAGGACAATCACAGTTAGAACACCAGTTTTACCACATGAAAAGCGGATCAAAAGGACTAAAATCTCACTAATCTTAAATATATGTGCCTGAGTCCGAGACAGTGCTTTCTGTGGAGCAACATGAGCTAACTTGACCATTTTGAACATAGCAATTGCCACCATGTTTATTTTTGATTTTGTTTGTTTCTTGGAAGAAAAGCTCAGACCTTCTGCTGGGAGTCAGTTGTTCTGGTCCTAGGTTGGATGGTAGGGCTGCCCCCAACCCTGGTCTTCCTCAGCTTCCTGTTTTAAAGAAATTACTTATGCATCTTGCAATCTCATTTCTCCAGCTAAACTTCACGGTCCAAATGCCTAGCATTTGATTCCAGGACTGCTCCAAAAACAGTGGGCAAGCCAGCATGTGATTACTGATAAACTTACAGCTAGGGCTGGGTGAAATTATTTTTAAGAGATACAAGATTTGCCAAAAAAAAAATGCCGTTTTGTTTGTCCCCAAACTGTTTGCAAATTCAGGTTAAAATTTACTGGCTTTCAACCTAAACAATACAGTGTGGAGCTAGATTTGCAGAACTGGGAAGAGGAGTTGCTGCTGACCTCAGACCAGCCTCTAGTCAGTAGCCCAGAACATGGGTGAGCTAGGCTTAATCTCCTCCTTTGCCAGAGGATTTGAACCCACATTTCTTACCTTCCATTAGAGAACCCTACACACAAGGCATGTCTACACATGTAATTAATTTGAAGCAATAAACTCTGGACATGTTTGGCTTGGAATAAACTACTTTCAGGCGCAGTGTCTACACGTGTGCCTGGAACAGCAGCAATTTGACCTGCGGTAGAACAGGACTAGGCTGGCAGGGGGCACTGGGGGTCAGCCCCCATCTCCGGGCGGTGGTGGCAGAAGGGCTGGCTAGAGCATGAGAGTCTGGCCCCCGGCTAGCTGGGCTGACTGGGCATAATTTATGCTTGCATTAAATTATCCCAGTATAAGATAGTACTGTGCCCAACAGTCCTATTTTACTGCAACATTAATTAGTTTACTGCTGTTGCACGTGTAGTGGTGATGCTTTACTCCACAGCTAATTAATCTATTTTTTAGTAAAGCGCGTGTATAGACGTGGCCATGGTACTATAGGGTAATCAGGAGTGAGGTGGGGTGAAATAGCGTAACCTCTCCTGTTTATGCAATTTCATTTTATATAAATTAAACATTGCAGCAGGGACTGGGGGTCATAGATGCCAGTTCCTCGGTGAGTAGTCTAATCACTAGATTAGAGAGTCACTGTCTTCAAGTCAGAATATATGACTCAGTGGGCATGTTTACACATGCAAATGCTATTAGATGGGTTTACTCTGGAGTAAACCCACCCTTGGCAGACATCTACACGTGTGGGCATTTGGGAGCAGATTTGCTGCTCCTGGCAGCAGTCCGCTCCCGCCCCCTGCAGCAGCCAGGGAGAGCTGGAGGCTTGGGCTGCAGCTGCCTGAGGCCGGCAACCGTCTTTAAAAGGCACCCCTGCTCTGTGCTCCCTGGCCACCTGCCTTCCTGACACTGAGCAGGCTGCAGAGCGCTAGGTCAGTGCGCTGCGGCTCTGTCTTCAGAGCCTGTGCCCACCGTGCTGTGGCTATTCCACCCCCAGGACCCAGCAATGACATCCAGTGCCCCGGGCTCCTGCTGGACACCCTGGCTGCCCTGCTTCACTGCTGCAGTAACTGCCACCTGGCCTAGGTTAGTCTCAATCCTGCCTGTCCCCTGATGTGGTGTGAGCACCTGGCTAGGCTCACCATGCTGTCCCAGACCCCCTGGCAGCATGCTGCTGTCTCCTGGACCCCATGCAGCTGCCTAGACCTAGCAGGGACGCTGACGATGCATATGTGGATGTCACTACCGGTTCTGTCCTTGTGCTCCTGAGGCTTCAGGCCCACTGCCTGTGGGCCTGCTGGCCAGCCGGGACTGGTGGTTACATGTTGTCCAGAGCACCTGGGATGAGGAGCAGTGGCTGGAGATCTTTCGCATGACCCAGGCCACCTTTCAGGACCTCCTTACGCAGCTCCACCTGCACCTGGAGCAAACCACCACCATGTGGCTTGCTCAAGCTGGCCACACCTGCCAACTTGCACTATGTCCACTACCTCTTCCACATGGGCAAGATGACCGCCAGGGACACTGCACTGGAGGTCTGTGGTGACCTCAAGGACATTTTGGGGCACACTGTTGTCCACATGCATGATGGCCTGGAGGTGGTGGCGGGGTTCTGCACCCAGGGCTTCCCCCAGTGCACTGGGGCCCTGGATGGGACCCACATCCCTGTCACCTGCCAGCCCCATGGTGACTGCCCCTATTACAGCTAGTGAGCCTTTCACTCCCTTGTGTTCCAGGCTGTCATCAACTACTGTGGCACCTTCACTAACGTGAGTGCCAGCTGGGTGGTCAGCACCCACGTCACCCGCATCTTCTGTAACTCCACCTTGCCAGCCCTGGTGGAGAGCGGGCACTTTATTCCAGGGGTGCTGGACCTCTAGCTGGGCATGGTGGTGGTCCTGCCCCTCCTCACTGGGGACCCCACCTACATGCTCCTCCTCTGTTTCATGTGGCCCTACAACAGCCAGCTGGACCCTTGCCAGGCACACTTCAACAGGTGCCTGGGCCAGCCCCACTTGCTGGTGAAGTGCACCTTCAGGAAGCAGAAGGGGCACTGGCAGATCTTCAGTACCTGCCTTGAGGTCACTGAGGCCACTTTCTGCCGCATCATCTTCACAGCTTGTGCGCTACTGCACAACATCTTCAGGACCTGTGGGGAGCTGTTTTGCAAGGCCTGGGGGTAGGAGGTGCCACAGGTGGAGGATGTCTGGCACTGTGAGTGCCAGCTGTGGTGGCAGTGACAGCAACAGCCCCCCTCCCCCTGCCGAGGCCCCAGGCGATCTGCTCATCCAGCAGTGGGGGCCAGGGTACTAGGGGCAAGAGGCACTGTTTGACCACCACTGTGTGTGAGAGTCCTGTGTCTGCCTAGATGAGGAGGTATAGGTTGCTCAAAGTTTTGCATTGTCTCCTGCCTCCCTGCATGCTGTGGGGGGTGGAAATGGGGGGCCAGGGGAGCACGGTCAGGCTGAGTGAGGAGCAGGGACAGGGGCAAGGAGGCAGGAGTGCGGGGCTTACCGGGTGGGTGTGGCAGGTGTGCCCAGCAGCCAAAATCCATCCCCTTTGGTGGTGGGGATGTACAGCTCCTGGTGGTTTCCTGGGGCGCGCGGCTGAGGCAACTCCCTGCCCAGGCAGAGGTCCCCTCTGGGG